CAGTTAGCGGCATGAAGAATTATTAATAGTGAAAGTAATTTCTGACGGAGGAACTCAAATCTTCCCTCTCAGATGAAAGAGAATATCCATTTTTTTCCCCCTTCAGAGTGCCAAATGCGTTACATTCAGCAAAATTGGAAGCCAGAACAAAGAGGTCTCTCAGCTTGATACTCTTCCTCCAAGAGGCACACGAGGCCACTGATGCATGAGCAGCAGTTTATCTGTTCCAATCTAAGGAGAAATGTTTCTCTTGTTTTCAGCCAGAATATGAGCAGTAGTGTCTAGAAAAGTTTCCTTTAAAGCCTCGTTTGTTAAAACATTATGTCAAAACTTATGTTTTGAAGTGAAGCAAATAGTCTTTCTCTCCTTGCAGGAACTTTTTCCTAGTTCAGAATTGCATTATACACAGCAACTAGCCCTACCCTAGACTTCATTTCAAGGATTTGCTCTCAAAATTCTGTGAAGCTAGGAAGCTTCTCATCTCAAGACTCAGTAAATTAGCCTTCCAAAATATGAGATTTAACTTTCTTTTAAATTCAAAGTAGTGAGCAACATTTTGTCACACTTTTGCCCTAACAAAGCAGAACAAAATTATTAATTGGATTCAGTTTGCTTGCTGACTCTCAAACGATCAGATGACAACATTTATTTTTCTGTGACTGTTTCCATTGCTATTTTCCAGCAGTCACTCCTATGGAGTTGTAAACTCCGTATTTCACATGTTTTCTTCTCACTTGTCTTAACCTTCAAGGCCAGCCTCTCTTCAGAATTTAATAGTGCTTTCAGTCTTTCATCTCTCATAGGCTTGATTATTGTGTGGATCTTCATGGCTTTCTTGCAGCTTGTGAGGAGGTGTCCAGAGAGGAACAGTGGTTTTGGATCGAAATATGTAGCTGAAGAATGCAGTGCACTGAAACCTGCCATAGGAAGCCAGAAATCTGAGTCCCAGAGGGCCTCAAGGCTCATTTCACTGAAGTTATGGAAGCTTTGAAGACTTGCTTGGGCAAGATTTCTGTTTCACATATTTGAAAGGCAGCTACCTGGGTCTCTATACATAGTCTTAGGGGGAACAGCAGAGCAAACAATAACGCTTCACCTTGTCTTTATTTGGGGTTAGAGAGCTCTGCGGTCACAGTAATCCTTTGTCCACAATAACCTCTTCTGCAGGTTTCCTTGCTATGCAATTTAACACCCTAATAAGCCACATGTTTCAGTGGTTCTAACATCTGCACAGTAGCCACTGCACATTTTGTGGGCATAAATGACTAGTTGCAGAGGCTAAGTCATTGGTGAGGGAATGGTGGAGGTGAGAAAATGTTTTTCAGACTATGTAAGTAATTTAATCTTTTATTTCCTCTTTGGTATGTATTTTCATTTATCACTACTCTGAAATCAGTTTACCTGGTTTTCACAAGTTGGATGCACTGGCTTCTGTATTAGATGCTTTTGCATTAAGTAGTTCTTTGCATGTCCCTAACTACTCATCTTGAAGTAGCTGTGACTTTTGTATTAACTGGCAGCTGGTTTGCAGCCACAAAATTGTAATAATCCTTTTTTCTTTTTTTTTGAATGAGAAACCTTTTTGCTGACAAAATAAGTAAACTGTCAGAACAAAACATCGTAAGCAGTCTGATCAACATCCTGAGTAACTTGTTTACAAATTCATCAGTTGCTTCTGAAGTAATGGGGGATATGCCAAAAAAATCTTAATTTCTTATTCTTCTCCTCGGCAGGATGAAAGGCTAAATTACATGTTCAGTTGGTCCTGTGATCTGTGGAAATCAAATGTAAACTGCTTTACCATTATGTGTGCATTTCTGTTTTCAACCTGAAATTTCCAGATTTCCTCCCTCACCCTCTCTGCCTTCTAATCACATTTGTTACCCCTTTCTATGTAAATGGTACTTGCATACCACCTGGACTCAAAAGAAGGGGCTTCCAAAATTAGTGGCAGCTCGGCAGCTTTAGATTATGGTGTGAAGAATGCTATGGGTATACCTGAGGGTGGGGTTTGCCTCAGTTTGACATTTTCTTTTCACCCTTTATTTCTGCATGAATAAACACCAACAAGTTTCTGACTGACTTCCACTACTCCCATTCTTCTAGAGACATTGGTTTTCTCTCTCTCTTTCAGAGAAATAGCTTTTCATAAGCTAATCTGTAACTTATTTACAGCTGGTATTTCTCCCACAGTTTCCATGCTCGAGTCCTGTACAACACCTCTGTTCAAACCCATGTATTATAGGACACGAATCTTCACTCGTCTCCACTATTCCCCCCATCACTTTATGGTACTTCCCATGTTTCCACACTACAAATTCCTCCTCTTTGCCAGCTGCTGTCTTTCTACCATATTCTGCCTTTCTGTTCTTTTTCCAGTTCATTCAGCCTTCAAGTACACCTAAATGGTCCCCCTTTTCTGCGATCAGAAATTAATTTATTCTGCATCTAAAGCTATATGGCACCAAAGAACATCTGCGACCTACTCATTTGGCAACGTATGGTATACATCGTTTAAACATGCCATAGGTTCTACCACTGCAGTGTAATATTTTCTGTTATCATGGCTCAGAGCAAACAATCAAAAATCTTCTCTGTGTGATGTTCAGAGTAACCTATTATAAATTCTTCCAGAAATTTTGGGATTTCTCCCCACCCTACTTGTGAATAATCAGTTCTTCTGTATCAGTTAGCTGCTCATTTCTCTTCTTACCAACACTGTTAGGACCATCCCCCCTTTTATCTCTATTCTGCTAACCTATTATATTCTCTGGACAAACAAATACGGCTCAAACTATATTGCATGTTTTTTTAATAGAAGAAATTAACCTTTTAAAAGTTAAACCAGTAGATTTTATAACTCCATTTCTAAAATGCGGATTTGTTTTAGCTACTGACCCATGGGAAAGCACATTTGCAGCAGTCTATCTTTTAAATTATCAAAGTAAGAATAAATTGTTACATATGACTACTGAAACGTTCTGGATTTTTTTCAGGTTCTGAGTTACGTCCGTACGGAATGGGATCCACTCGATGCTAGCTTCAGCACTAATCAGCCTTATCAGGTTTACACAGTAGAGCACTCCATCTCCACAGACAAAGAGCCCATGGCCGACAGCTGCGTCTACAAGTGCAGTAGGAACAAAATTCAGTGCATGGCTGTCACCAGAATACCACTGCGATCCAAGGCCATCAGCTGTTGCAGAGATGTTACAGAAGACAAACTAGTCTTGGGGTGTGAAGATTCGTCAATAATTCTGTATGAAGCCTACAACCAAGTGACTCTGTTAGCCCAAGCAGAACTGCTGCCTGCTTTAATAACCTACCACCCTTCCGGAGCCATATTCATGGTTGGCAGCTCTCAAGGGGAGTTGCAAGTTTTTGACACAGCACTGTCCCCAATTAAAATTCAACTCTTGGCACAAGACTATTCACCTGAGGCAACTCTGCAACTCAGTAAACACTTTGAGGTGCCTAGCAGCCTCGTCCAGATCCAGTGGGCTGCTCCTCAGGTTGTGTCTGCCAGCACTGACGGCACGGGTATTCATGACCTTTTGTTGGTTAGATTCGACAAAGGACCCTTAGGAGTACTTCACTTTAAACTGGGTAAGTTGCTGAGCACATCTATTGAACCTTGAGCTCTCAAGGAAACATCTGTACCTCACCTGTTTTTTGTAGCTCGAAACACCTTCATTTCAGATACATGGGACCATAGCCTTAAAAGCACGTAGTTCCAGTGATTTTTGAAGATGCTATCCAAGGAGTTTGTTACGTTTCACAATTAGTGTCTTTTCATATGGGGTCTGACAGAATAGGACCCCGATCGGCTGTTGGAGCAGGGTCCCATTATGTTCCCTACTACTCTAATAAAGCGTTCTAATTTCTCATATGGAAAATTCTTCTAGTTTGTAGTATATAATTTTAGGAATTGTATTCATTCTCTAGTTAATACCCCTAACAAGCTAAAATAAGCTATATTTAATAATAGAATAGTAATGCTATTTTCTTTCCTAAATGATTTTTTTATGTGTATGATGCAACTATCCTTCCCATTACAACTTACATTTGTCCCAGTCCTCTGTTCTTCCTGACTTCAGTACATGAAGTTACACCGTTTCTTTCCTTCAAGGCTTTTCACACAGGAAGGAGGGTTTTCATAATCTTCAGAGAAGTTTGGTGTCTTGATTAATTTGCCAGGAGTTGTGAATAAAAGAAGTAATAATACTGGTTTTAGAATTTATATAGCACTTCTCATTTTAGGTGTAAGGAGACTTTAAGAGAGTAAACCCGTAACTGTCTTTATTTTACAAACAGAATAACAAGAAGCAGTAAAGGAAAGCTAAAAGGCTTTCCAAGAGTTACACAACGAGTCAGTGGCTGAACTAAGAATAAAACCCCTGCAGATGCTCATCAGTGAGAACTGTATTCATTCCATTCAAGTCAGGCAAGTTACAGTGGTGCAAACCCACTGTGAGAGCTAAAAAAACAATCATGCTTAAACCTTCTGACTACCGAGCCAGTGTTTCAGCAGGGCAGACAGCCATGTCGAATATACTCATCCTGGAAAATTTCAGCATTTTACCCGTTGTCTGTCCAAGGAAACAGGATTGTCTCTGTAGATCTTTACAGGAGCTTCTTATGAGTCTTTTGTATAAAGCTATTGAGATTAGGAAGAAACTTTTTTTTAAAAAAACAAACAAACAAACAAAACCCTAGGTGACAGTGAGGCTTGAAAAATCTACTTAATTTCTTTATTACTGAGACACACATGTGCTTTTGTGGGGGAAAACCCTGTCTAAAAGTATTGCAGACCTAAACATTTGAAAGACTGAATTTGAAAAACTTACCTTTGTGCAGTGGCATACTTAGTTAAATTAATATGATAGGATGTTAGCAACAGAAATGTTGGATTGACTTCTAGTTGTATAGTTTTAAAAGAGCTGATCCAGATTATTACTGTTACCCAAAAAAAACTATTAAAAAACTGTTTACAAGTTATGATTTATTTTGAGATAATTCAGCTGCATTATGTTCAATGACAGGTTTAATAGTTGCAGAGCACCCCAGAACACTAATTATAACAGCCATTTGATGTTTTTGTGCTTGTTGGCCATCAAAAAAAACCCCTCTAAATTACCTCTTACCTGTCAAGCAGAAGGCACTCTTCCCGCATCTACCTTGCTTTTCTTCAGTCCTCCCTTGTGGGGTTTTCTCACAACAGCTTTCCAGAAAGCACAGCTTTCCCCTTGCTATCTTTAGCACATTTATGTTCTTACGAAGGCAAGCAGGCTCTCAGTGCAGGGATTTAGAGGCCTTTCCTGCTAATTGCCAGCTTGTAAACTTAATTGGACTGTCTCCCTGGGCACCGTTCCTAAATCAATTAGGCAGTGAGTTGGCTGTCACCTCTTTTTCCCAAGCAGGTTGCCTGGAAGCGTACCACCCAGGAGAAGTCAAGCATCCAAATGGGAAGATGTTGACCTCTACAGCTGAAAGTTATCACATTTTAAAATTCATTCTGTATAATTACTGTAAAATCTCTTCTAGGAAGAAGGCAACGCTCTTTCTGTCCCTCCCTCCCTTCCTCCCTCCCTCCCTCTTCGTAGTCCACTGTGCAAAAATATGCTGTTCTCTGTTGCATCCTGGTTTTCAGCTTTACCCCTCTTCTCAGTTTGCCGCACTGCCAAGGTAATGCTGTGTTGAGCTTCCCAGCCTCAGCAGTTTCAAGGTCTCTGCTATTCACAAAATAATGCAAAAATAAATTATACGGAAAATTTAGGGGTCCATGACAGCAAAACCCAGACAGGCATTCAGGAGTGAAATAAGATCCATAATTAACTCATGAGTTGGAATTGTTTCCCATAAAAATCCGTTAAGAAACGATGTCAATGAGAATAGGCAAATATGTTTTTAACTTCCAGCTGACATATGATGATTTTGGACAAGTTCTGTGAATTCTCTATTGTGCTGTCTAGCCAGATTTATTTCAGGAAGAGATTCATATTAAATTTACCCTCAAACATTAGTGGCAAATATTTTTGGTGTCTAATGCCAAACTCATTTTCAAAAGCATTGCGGCTTCTTGTCGTTGGTGTCAACCCAGATCTTGCGTAATGCCAGACTTGGGACTGATGCCAGTGGTTCAGCATTGCTGGCCTCAAAAGGCATTTTAAATATAATATTATATTTAATTAGCATGCAAATAAATATTTTCATCTTCACTTAGTGATTAATATGAAGATTGCCCAACTTATGTAATACTTTAAAAACACTAAACATTTAGGAAGAATAAAGTCTACCGTAACAATTAGATATTATCACACATACACAGGTTAAACGTGGCTGTTACACAGTATAATGTCCATAGGCTTCAATACATGCAAATGTAAAGTGAAATACAGTAGACAAACATGTCACTTCTTTAATGACACTAAAAACCTGAAGTATTTCTGTTACAAAAAATAAATATGTAAGCTTTTTTTTCCCCGAAGCGTCAGATCTGTGTATGCACGTTCTCAGCAGGTTACTTGTCCTCGAGCTATAGTCAGATGTTTTCCTGTACTTTTTTTCCTGAATTCTTGTTTTACATCACAAACAGTATTCACAATTACATTTATGAAAATTTTGCGAGGTATGTTTTCTATATATCAGGTCTGCTTTTCTCTGTTATCAGACTTTTCTTCCCCAGCTGTCCTATGGCTTTAATATCAATGTTGAAATTCAGCTCATTCCCTTTCTCATGAGAATTTTTTTCCTTAAAATTAGTTTTGACAAACAGCATCAGAATATAAATTAAGAAAATAAAATAGTAACATGTTTTTATTTAAAGAGAGGGGAACAGTAAATTTATTCTGGTCTCTTTCTAATGTCTGGAGCAGTAGTGATACTCTAGCACTCTAGTGACCCAGAGCAAGCAAGAATTGCTAAAATGCCATGTGTGGCCTATGTCACACGGTTATTGCGCTAGTCGGGGACAATAAGTAACGTTACTTTCTGCAGCTTTTCAGTCACCTTTTCTGTTCAGAAGCTGAGATCTACAAGTCAAGAAACATTGACAGTCTTTCAATTTCTACTTTTCAGAGAGAGAGTGCTGTAGACAAATCCTGCTCTCATGGTGTGAGCAATGTGTTGCTCTTTTTTTTTTTTCCCTATGGCAAGCTTGTTCTTGGTTTCGTGTGCACCTGTAATTCAAAGGTCCTTAGATGTTGATGTCTTTCATGATATCCCCTCGTGGAAGAAATGCTTCACTTGGAGAATTTGGCCAAGCTAGGGGAAAGTTCTAGAGCAATTGCAGTACGGAGAGTAATCGAGTAGCTGTTGCTTTGAAGCCTGAGGGGCTGTAAACATATATACATAGGTACATTTGTGTGAGACAAATGCTATTTTTTAGTGCTGTCCAGCAGTATTTCCCTACGGAAAGCAGGTGCTGTGAACATGAATTTATTACCTCTAATACAATAATGATAAAGTGGGCATGAGCTTTTTCTCCCATGTTTAAAACAAACTTCATTACTTGATGTTGTCACCAGTGGGTATTGGCCACATTTGCTCAGCCTCCGTGTGTCAAGTTCACTGATGTTTTTTCTCCGCTGTCCAAAGCACCCTCAGTCTAAATATACCCAGATAATAAGGAGCTATCTCACATAAAAATTGTAGTATTGAAACCCATTAACTTAAAGTTTCTAATGTTAACCAACAGCAATTATTTTTAACTGTGCTGAAAAGTAGCCAGCTACTGTTTGACATACTTATAACACTGTCTTTGGTTTTGATATTTCCTGTAAAAGGTGTGATCACAAGAGGACAGCTGGGCCTTGTGGAAATCATCCACCAGTACATTCGTTATGATGAGATACATGAGGCAATTAGTGTCCTGAACACCATGAACTGGAACACGATGGGTCGTCAGTGCTATATATGCTTGAGCGCCATTGTCAATCACCTTCTTAAACAAAAGCTTACACCAGACAGAGAAGGTAAGAGACTGGTTGTATTTTTAATGTATTTTTGTGGTGTCTTTGTAATTCGTATGTGAATTATGACAATATATTTATTGACTGTATAAAGAAGACAATAGTGAGAATTCAGCCAGCCAGCCAGATTATGGTACTTCATAATCAAATGTCGTATATAGACAAGTCATTTCAGTAAAACTTGGATCAATGTGTTGATTGCATTCTAGTTCATTTGTATCAATAGTGATACTAAAATAATGCGTATTTTAATATATATGGTATGGGCGTGACTTAATATGTGTAGCACTATGATAGGTATGCTGTAACTTTATTCCATTACATAAATTTAGCTTATGTTACAGACTAATGTTAGTTAACATAGGACCAAAATGTGCATTACATATTCGTGCTGAGACAGCACCAGCTTAAGGAGGGACGTTTTCCTGCAGCAGGGACAAGAGATTTTAGTGTGGGTTTTAAGGTGCTTTTGGAGGGTGGCTCTCATCGCAGGCTCCAAAGGCTTCGAATGCCCTATCCTCTGCTGCCTCCTTTAGGCTTACAGCATTTGGCCTCCCTGGCATCCTCTGGCCCCCTGCGGTAGTACCTGGGGTCCCTCGCAAGAAATGATGAATTTTAGGTTCCCCCCTCGTCTCTGCTGAAGCTTGGTGTTGTGCCTTCCTCTTGATTTGCTGTCTGTCTTAAAACTCAGTAGACTTCCAGATTTGAAGTGCCTTGATGTAGTGAAGGTTTTATCCTCCAGTCTAGCAGGCAGACAGCTGGGGACCAGGCATCTTTTGTGGCAAGAAAGAATACTTAGGATTCTGGTGTGTTTGATGATAGAAAAACTCCAAGGTGTCCTATATTGCTGCCAAGCCATCAGCTGTCCCATTTTGGGGGATCTGATTAAAAAAATCTCTGCGTTGCAAACGTGGCACATCAATTCTAAATAAAACATGCTTTTAAAAGGAGCCATGAAAAGGGCTGGTTGTGAAACTCCTGTAAAAATATGCACATTATAAATAGATGTCTGTGTGTTTCCCCCCACGCAGCTCCCTAACACTGTTTACAGCAGACGGAATTTTATTCTGTCCAGGAGTTATTCTATGTGAATCTAACAAATTTGGCGTGGTAATTTGTTTTCCTTTTTATTAGCAAAACCCAGTGGGGCCTTTTACTTATAGCGATGGGGCAGTTATCTTTGAGATCTTTATTCTGCCTTCAACGTCAAGCTGGGCTATCTAATGAATCTATAACTGTGCTAGTAGTTACTCATATTGCATATAGGTTGAAATATTTCAGAAATACAGAACATGCTGTCAAGAAAACAGCAATGGCAAGAGAGTGTGGCTTGTTTTTGCAAAGGTACTGCTGTATTCAATTTTAATCTAAGTTGACTGCTACTTTGAAAGAAAATACCTTTAAGGTTCAACTTACCTTACTGTCTAGATTTAAGAGAATGCAAAACCTAATTTACTAACAGTTTGCCTGTGTTACTAACACAGTACTGTTAGCACACTTAGTGCTATCAAGCCTAATAAAGTAAAATGTCACTATGCCTGGAAATAAAGAACCATTATCACTAAATACAGAAATGGCTAGTTCAAACAAGCACTAATAACAACAAATCAATGAGATTTTGTCCAACTAATGAGACAATAGGTTATATTTTGCTCTTAAAGCCCACACAAAATTTTAATTAGCAGTAGCAGTTTGCGTATTCACTCTGAAAGGAGAACGTATATAGCAAATATATAGCAAATTCTCCCTGTTCTGCCTATAAGGACTTGTACTATGTGTTAACTCTCAAGCAGAAGTCATGTAACATAAATATTATTCATCATTAAATTTTCTTTCAGCTAAGCATGTGAGACACAAACATGTACTGTGTATTTTCTTGTATTATTTACAATTTTGTATTAAAACCATGTAGAAACATGCATAAGAGCTCCAGCCGTGGAGTATAGCAGTGAGAAAGTGTTGAAAGCGGAGAGAACTTCTGTAACAAAACGGCTTTATTTTATTGATTACAAGGGTCGTTATCCTGTTTCCCACCACTACACGCTGTAGGATAGTCAAGCCCTTAGGGTTTCTAAAACCTTTATTTTTTTTTTACTTTTTAAACAACTGTGGGCTGAAGGAGGTTCCTTAGACCTCAAGGCCATCACAAGAAGGGTTCTGTCACCTGCTGACCTAGCACAATAATCCCTGAAAAACTGAACTTCCTTGTAGTTTGCCTAAGAGGACAAAGATGATTTGAGCTAATTGAGAGTTGATCTCTACTGGACAAACTTGTTCAAACTGTGTTACTCTTATGAGTCACTTTTAATTGTATGCTGCTGGTGAGAACTTGATGTGATACAGACTTCTTCATCCTTTTGACAGCTTTTGTTGCTCAAAGTCATTGTCAACTCTGCCTCAAAGTGAAAGTTTATATACACATTTGTGTTTGTACAATCCATCATATTTTAATTTCATCTGTCCTACAACAACATCACATTTCATCAGTGTTTGAGGAATTTGACTGACTGCAAACATGAGCAACCTGTTGTAATTGAAACAGTTTCGCTTGTCTCATTGCTGCTGTGTTTGAACTCCACAGCACAGCTTGAGGCAAGCCTTGGAACCTTCTATGCTCCAACAAGACCCCTCTTGGATACCACCGTGCTGGAGTACAGGGACCCAATCAGCAGATATGCAAGAAGGTTCTTCCACCACCTGCTCAGGTGAATGACAGTTTCAACTTCTACCAACTTAAAATTAATTGCATATTTCAATAACTGCCTACTTTAATGTGGTTAACATTTTCCAAGAGGACCACCCCTGAAAAAAATGCATTCATTGTCACTGTTTGTTTAACTTGCACTTCGTTCCTTTCAAGTAGAGTATTGCAGGTAAAATGTTATTCAGAGCTCTTCTATCATCAATACACTTAAAATGAATCACCTTTTCCCTTTTAGCTTGACAGAAAAAAGATAGCATGCTTCTGAGAGATTTATATTCACCAACTGCTTGCAGATTAACTATTGAAACAGCTTACAAACTTGAAGAAAACTCTGAGTTTAAACAGATGCTAAAATGCAAACGAACGGTGCATGGTCCAAGACATTTTTGTCTTTGCACCATTGAAATCTGAGCATTTTGTTATTCTCGCCCTCAACGTTCTCATATAGAAATTCATATTCCAGTAATTTTCAGTGAATTTTCAGTGCCATTAAAGTAAGAGTAGAAAATGAAACGTTGAATTCGTCTGTAAATTATATGACATTAGAAGAGTCATAATACCAAATTCAGCTAGAATTTATAGGACATTGGTTTATTGCTATATTTTTCCTTCAGAATAAATCAATAGCCTAGATTTCAATCGGTTATAAACATCAATACACAGCAGTTTAACCTGTTCATGTGTTCAACCACAAATATAGCTGAAACATTCCCTCTGAGAATTATCCAGTGGGTGAAAATAAGGAGAAATTACCTTCTGAATGATACAGTGTTTGTAACGCCTTGCTGAGGAGGAGTGCAGATGGACACAGTGAGAACACTTACAATGCACCCTTTTTCGACGATTCATCCAGATTATCTATGTTGTCTGCATATGCAAAGCTAGGAACTGCAAGTTGCTTTGATGGTACAGCATGTGCTTCTTTCACGTTTTAAAGATTTTATCCTGTCTCCTACGTTTTGAGTCTGAGTAGGATCATCTTTCTGGTAAACGAGTCCATTCCAATGCGGAAATTATTCTAAGTAGAAGAATGCTCCAAATATCTGCATAATATGTGCTAGCCTTTCACTGGGGTTTTCTTAATAGATGTGGCCACAATAGTGGGTACAAACTCTGCTTTTGCCTTTCTCCTAGAAACCAGCAGGGAAGATCTGTTGCTGCAGTGGCCAACTATAGTGGCCATGGGCCAGCTGCCTGCGGAGGACAGATGCAGAAAGAATGCTTCAGAGATCGCGGAGAGGTGTAACTCTAGTGCTCTTACCTCTGCAAGAGAAAGGTGTATTCCCTCTGACTCAGGATTTGCTTCCAAATGCTAGCAGGCATGCAGAGGCATGGGGCCCTGGCTAAGCTTTCGGCGCCTGGGGCTGCTGAGCACAGCTGAAATACTGACTCAATCCCCCTAGCAAACAAGAAGCTTCAGTGTCAGAATGCTGCCCGGACAGTGTGGGTAGGAGAGTATCCCTGTGTCTGTTACCTCCACTATAAAGCAGCCCTTGAACAATCTACGGTTGTGGCAGTTTTCAGAACTAATGTATGTTATTTTGCTGTTTCCTTATTGTCAAAGGGATTTGTATTTGACTGAATCAAAGTGATAGGATCATGTGATTGCTGCAGAACAGATGGTAATGCTTAAAGCTTATCTGAGAAGACGTAATCTAAGTACAAAATGAAATGTTCAAAAATGGGAGATTTATCTGATAGAAAGCAAGGAAATGATGTTCAGAGCTGATCTTTATTGTATTAAAGTGGCTCTGCCTTAATTGGTGTTTATTTCCTTTTAGATGTTTTCTTAAGTGACTAGAATGATTTGAATGTAGGCTAAGCAGAGAGTACTACAGATTTGTGGGAGGAATGGTAAACCATGGTTCTGGGTGAGCGAACTACAGATGTGTTGGAGAAATGGTAAACCGTGGTTCTGGGTGAGAGAATGCAGGAGAATCATAGGGAGACACAATGCTCACTCATCCTTTCAGGCACGTGAAAGTTGCAGCCGCTGCTATTGCATCCGTCTGCGAGGAGCCAGCAAGGCAAGCCACTTCTGCCAGCCTGCGTTTACCATTGTAGGTTCCAAACAGGAAGAAAAGTGAGAAGAGAATCATGCTCTTGCCTTTTCAGATCACCATATTATACCCATGAGGACACTGAAAATGGAGTAGTCCTCCCACTACCTGTTTGTCACAGACAGCAACTCTATCTGGGTGTCAGGAAGACTGCATTTTAGGTAGTCTTATGTTTATATGCTCTCTGGGTCAACCTTTGTTATTTGATTTATTCAGCTTTTTACCCTTATTCATTTCGCACCAAATACTTGCAGGCTGGTTACAAATAGTTAATGAATCTCTTCAGAGTGAATTTGTGTTACCGCAGATGTGCCTGCATGACCAAACAAGAAAACCTGAATGCAGATGATCCGTAAACTGCCGATGCCAACTTGGTGCAGTGCTAGGGGACATTTGTTACTCTCTTGTGAGCATGAGGAGACAAAAGCAAAGTGATCACTTTGTACCCTGTTGCAGGAAGAAGCGGAGGAAACATAGTGCTTCCTAAATTGAGTGCACTATAAGTATGGCTGATATTCAAAGAATATTTCTTGGAATAGAGTAGGGCCTTCTGCAATTCCTTTCGGCTTCAGAGAAAGCAAGCGGCAGATGCACAGAAATTAAATCTAGAGGATAAGGAGCTAAAACACTCAGGGAGAAACTCAGAAGTGGGATAGGAAGGGTGAGGAAAGTGGGATGAGGAGCGTGAGTAGAAGACAAGGAATTGGGGACGAAGGACTAGAGGCAGGGATGGGGATGTAGAGAGTCCCGCAAAAGGGCAGAGCAGGAGCACAGAGCGAAATAGGGGAGGACAGCTTAGGGGGTGTGTGGTGGGCTATAGAGGAGACCAGACACATAAGGGATGGACAGGGAAGGGCAGAGTCTTCCATGCAAGATTAAAACATTAAAACACTTAATGTTTCTAGATCTAAATCTGAAAAATGTTCATGTAAACAAAAGTTTTCACCTCCCTCTCCAGCTTTCCTTTGAATGCCCCACCAATCTGCCTTAAGCCTTTTCTAGAAGGACCCAGTCTTGGGAGAGAAATATTAATTCATTCTACATGCTGAGACAATCTTTGACCTGCCTGCTGAGTCTGCCAAAAAGGTGCCAGTTATTGTTGTACTTTTTAAGATGTGAGTGTCTGCATTTACCAGAATTGAGAAATACAGTTACCTTTTCAGAAAGGCTATCCTCGCCTAGTAATAATCTTGTGCCAATGATTTTAATCTTTACTGTAGGCTGAAAGGTTGTATATCCAGTCGCAAATAACTGGAGACATCTATTTTCACATTATCAGTGAGATTATAGGCTAACTATTTTTCTACCATTGAAGAGATCAGTTTCTAGAAAACACTGAACGCTGTGATGGTAGCGTTCCCCCTTTTAGGTGTCGGGCACTTTAGAAAGAAGATGCTCCATCATTACTGGCTGTATTGCAAGTATGGGTTAGAAAACGGTGCTGCAACCTGAGATGGACCAAGGAATGCTGACAGCACGATTGAAATGGATCACAATTAGAAGGAAGGAAAATGCCTTGCAACATGTTTGACGCAGCCATGTTATTTGTATCCGTCGTTATAAAAGCTAAGTTCTTAAATTTGCAAACCATGCAGCATCTTCAGCTTCCACTAAAATAGAAGCTTAGAGCTTTGCAGGCATAGGCCCTGAATATGGAATACCTCCAAAACGAAGCGTTCAGTATACAAAATTAAAATTAAAGGGCTCTTAATTATATGCCAGGGATCCATTACAACAGTATTTATGGAATGAATAATTATTTTCACTTTAAATTCTTATCTATAATTAAAAAATACAGGAACTGAATTACAAGTATAGAAATATATCTTAGGTGTTCCTTGCCACTTGAGTAGCGCTCCGGTATTTTATTATGATGTCACTGCTTATAATAATATAATGCATTATATCATTATGTAAAATGTTGAGCAGAGGTGGATTTATTAGGAAGCCTTGAGGAGCTGTAACCTTCTTGCCCCCACCCTTTTGTTGAGCGCTGCCTGCTAAGTGTATTTGTGTAATGGGGGAGTGGCTGCACAACCTCCTGCCTCTGTAGAACAGCCTCATCTACCCGTGTACACAACATGGAATGGGATGGAATAGTTTTTCACTCGTTAACTATGGCTTCGCTGACTCAGGGCTTTGCTTCACTCTGATCAAGCATTCGTAAATTGTACTTGTCATATTTTCTAATGCATGAAATTATCTTGTTTGTTTGACACACACACAGAGGCACAAATACACGCCTGCTCTGTTACGTTCTGATTTTTCTGTCTCTCTCAGAGAGACAGTGAGAAAGTAATGTAGCATGAGCTGGAGGTAAAGGCTGGGCTGGAAAGTCAAGTCTGAAATGCAGCTCAGGAGTTGTAGAATTAGAATGCAGCCACAGCTCCCTGTTTCTGCTGTGCCCTTCCCTCCTGTGTCATTCTGTTCTTGTGTTGGGGAATGCGCAGCTTAAGGACCTTTTTGCCTTTTTTTTTTTTTTTTAACATGGAAAAATACTAAGATTTAAAACCATTTGGACCTTTCCATCTCATAATTCCATTAAGAGAATGTAATGTTCTGTTTTTTTTTTTTCCCCATAGTACAAAAAAACTACAAAGCAGAGCTCTGTTGTAAATAACAAGATAGTGCATTTGCTTCTTTCAAGAGCAAAGTGCAGCTCTGATCCCATTCACCAGTGGAATTTTGGATGAATTCATGAAAGATTCTCCTTTGTCTGAATCCAAAAATGAAAACGTCCACCATGTTTTTACCGTTACTGTTTGTATTCCTTCGCAAATCTTCTCAGAAGTGTTGTGCACTCTTCCCAGTGTTCAATGTAAGACGCTACCGGTTAAATGCAAAGAAGAATTTAGCTACGTGTTGGGCAGAACATTCATAAAGTGGTATGGCTTTACACACAGAACTTGATAGAGCTCCTTTGTAAATAAACACCCATAAA